AGCTGAACCAATCAAGTGCATCTTGGAGTACATAGCAATTAGAGAATTGCAGATGTAAAGATCTGAATCCAATCCAACCTTAAACAATTTTCCGTGTATCTTGAGCCCCTCGCTAGAGTATGACAAAGCAGTGATGGATTTGACGACAAAGGGGAAAGTGAAGTGATCTGCACGAACTCCTGCTGCTTGCATCTGATAATATAAGCCAATAGCATCTTCGAACATCTCCCAGTTTGTGTAGCCTCTGATCATAACATTCCAGATGAAGGTATCGGGCTTCTTCGCGGACTGAAACAGCGAGAGGGCCTCATGCATTTGCCCTGATTCGGTTAATGAAGAAAGCCTACGGGCGATGACGGAGTTGTGTAGTTTAGATATTGGTTGTTTTGTTTTGACATTGGTGGAGCTGGAGATGGATGCTTGTTTTGGGAGGCTGGAGGTTTGGGAGGTGTTGGAATTGTTGCAGAAGCTTTGGAGAATGGCTGTTGCCATGTTCAGTCTCAGGAGAAGGGGAGTGTGACCGTATGAGGAATGGTAAACGTTGGGAAAAGATAAGGGCGGTTAATGTGTGGCTCTTGATGCTGCTCTTTTTGTTTGGATAGAATCACAGTCTGATATTTTTTTGCCCCCGCTGATTGTTCAATACGAAAAGTTAAGAGGGGCTGCTCGATATTTTGACATGTCGAGCTGGCCCACGTATCCATCCTCTCGGTGAGGAATCAGGATGGGCGTAACTTTTTCTGTTCCGTAGAAATTTGCATCATCTTATCTGCGCTTCGTCTAGCAAACTCAAGTTTGGTTATAAGTTGAGATTTTTGAAAGGGAGCTGGGGCTGAAGAAGCTTGCCACTTAATATAGTTCTACCATTATCCTCTCCTTCTCTGAAGATGTTGATCTTCTCTTGCCTAGTCTTTTGGTCAAAATATTCTTCAAGTTGGATAAATATTCGGTTTGTCTTGTATTTTGGTGAGCACCCAAATAGAGAAACTGATACTGACAAGAATCAGCTCATTAATCCCATATCAAATGATAATAGGAAGCAAGTTGTTAGATATTCAGTAGATCTTCTCAAAATTAAGGCTTTATGGATCAAACGTTTTAGCTGAGGATCTAAACAAACTCATTCTGGGGGGTAGAGTTCAGTGATGAACAATACATATGAGCTCAATCTCATTAAAATCAGTGAAGATCCTCCAATACAATTTCTCATGAGATACTATGCTTTTGGCTACAAAATAATGTGGTTTGAATATCTCATCTCCCCAATAAATGTTCTAAAGTTGTTTTGTTCTGAATAAATCACTTAACTTCCTACCACTTGAATCTTGATACATAGACAAGTAGACAACCAATCTTTTACTACTTTTTGTTTTTTTAACTACACTAGGACTTAATAGGCTGTAGACTGTAATTAAAGGTTTTTTTTCATCCAAACGGATGAGTAAAACTTCTTATTTGGGCTTAAAAAAACGAAGAAAAAACATTCTTGAGGTTCAGCAAAAGAAATTTTCTTTAGTGTAATTCCATATCCCATTTTATCAGAGTATAATAGTACGGGTGAACAAAAATATCTGTATCTGAGTAAATATTCGTATTGAATATATTTACTAAAATCTATATCCGAGAGGATATGGTTAAGAATACAGATATATAGTAAAATATCCCGATCCGTATCCGAAAAATCCGAACATATGTTTGCCATACAACTACAATAGTTTTATTATGAATTTGAGGTTGATAATGATGATCAAGGGATCTAATGTTAGATTTTCAATTATAACGTACATATCGATAAACTCTCTCGTGTGATATGAACTATAGTTTTTCAATATTATGTAGTCTTCTCATACTCGTTTTTGTATACGCGTGTGTATAAATACGCTTATATATACCCACATGTATATCCCCGTCGGAATTCAATTTCAGTAGGTATGGATATGAATTATTCTTAACCAAGGCATATCCGTATCCGTGATTGATAAACAGACACGGATTTGATGAGTATCGTATGTATCTAAGCCGTGCCCGAACCATTTGCACCCCCTATATAATAGGGTTTTGAAGAATTCGCCAGTTAACTTCATATGGAAATTGGTTTCTCCCTCCATCTTCCTTTGTTTCTCGGAGAGGGAGCAAAATCTAAGCACTACAAATTTTACAGGGCTAAGGGTTAATCACAATTTTTCAAGATTGAACGATGTCTTCACTTCAGGACCATGAAAAATGTTTTCAAGATTGAACGAGGGCTTAGCACCAACCATCCTAACGATACATCAAACCATAGACAGATTTACAAACATACACGTAACTTCGTCCAACCATGCGTTAATAAATACATACATATAATAGGACATTTATAACAAATAACAGTCGGTGGAAGTAGAATAAGCCTGCACACGAGGATATAATTTTTTTGTACATCCAGAGTGAAGTTTCAGAAGACCCCAAGTGAGGTAGGCACCGGGCTGCAAGTGGGAGGAGGAGCGTAGGAGCAATTCTTTTGTGGGACGTACGCAGCAGTAGCTTTGCTTGGTGCTCCGTACTCCCCAATTGGTTTGCTGATGGCTGGCTGGTTCAAGTAAGCATACCTGCTTTTGGTCCACCTACCCAAAGTCACAGAGCAAAGAGAAAAATATCAAACACCAACTTATTTGATCCTAACTTGTCAAAGTAGCATGCATGTAAAATATGAATAAAATAACGTTAGAAACGTTTAAATGCCTGATATGACTTTTAATTGAAAAAATGTATAAAGGGAAAAAGAACATGCATATGAAAAACGGGGTTCACCGTTATTTACATATTTGTCCCTCAAATCTCCAATAATTTTAGATTAATCCCTTTACTCACATATCCCTGAAATTTTAAGGATCAGTTTGGTTCCTCGATGCCCAAAATACCTCTCGGCTTAGATTTCTGAATCGCAACTACTTTATTTTATGATGTATAGGTGTGCGATGGGAAATTGTTAAACCATATAAATAAAATACGAAAAGACTCAGTAGACCCAATTTTGTTAACAACTACAATAATTTTGGTGTAAAACGAACTATACATTTTTTTATTTTAAAGGAATCTTATGCTCACCCCTTGGCTTCCAAGAAACCTTAGTTTTCTATTTCAGTGATGGAGACGGATGGGGGAACCTCTAGAAACTTTCTTTTCACCTCTATTAATTAAGCTTAATACAAAATGAAATATATTCCTACAGAATAGTAATTTTTGTGTTGGGTGTACGCCTCTTCTATATATATATATATATATACATACATACTTGCAAACAAAAGAATTATCAACTTTTAATTTCATAAAATTAAAAGATAAGAATATGATGGCTGGTTAAGAAAGGAATCAAAGGAGATGATGACTTCCAAGGTTTATTTGAATAACGCAGACCAATCAATTGTATGAAATGCAATAATTATTTCATTTGTGATGTATGTACTAAATAATTCCCTTGGTGGAATCTTTCTTCAAGCTTGTCCTAGCATCAAAGAGATAAATAAAATAGATCCCTTAAATTACTCCTACTCACATCAGTGCTTACCCAAATATAAACAACCACCGTCCAATGTGTGATGCACCTCACGCCTATTGAAAATCCCAAGTTCAACCACATGCACATTATTCGAAACATCTTCGTTGTTATGTAGATGCTAGCGTTTACTTGGTCTAGTATTGGATTGACCTAGCTCTGTCAAAATCCATAAGACTACGAGCGAAGAAATAATGAGGCACAATATTGTTAACAATGAGAACTTTGATGGAGTAGGTCAAGCCATTAGGGAATGGGTTTCTACAAAGCAATCTGCGCAATTAATTAAATACAAATCATAATCACTAGTGGCGTTTGTTTGACGTAAGAATCTTGTCCTCGAGCTGATCAGCCCAAAACCCGTAGCTATCCAAAGTTAAGCTTGGAGCAAGATAAGATGATGACGCCAGAGCTACTAATTAATGTTAGAAATTTTTTTTTTAAGGATATTTCTAGCCACTACTCTATAAAGACATTGATTATTAAGAAAAATAGTAGACGCCTCTTTCCGCTAAATTTTTGGCTTACTTAAATCTTAGGGTATCCTTTATACTGAGAGGTAAACAATCTTTGGATCGATACACTAATTCTCAATTCTTGCGTATTATTGCATTGATCCAGGGTTAGGAGCTTTTCAGTTTGGATATAAAGGATTACTTCTGAAGATCAGTATATATAAAGTTTATTCACTCATGCTCAGAGAAAAGAAGAAAGAAAAAAAGAAAGAAAGAAAAAAAGAGAAAGGTGAGAAGTAAGTGGATGTCAGCCTACCAATCCTTGATTCCCACTTGCAGATCCTTGTGGTTTTGGCCATCTTTTTCCTCATTGGCTTTCTTTATCATGTCCCTCAGCGATTCTTCGAATCTCCTGTAATCCTCCTCCTGCTCATCGCAGCCATTATAATGATTTGACTAATACACATATAAGATTAAGATTGATTTCTTAAATGCAAGCGCTACTTGTACGTGCAGATAATTGTCTTGACTAAAGTGTTCCTAGCTTCAAGTTTCGGGTTCGGGGCTGAGGGCTAGCTACGCTCTCCCTTTCTATGAAATTGCAAGTGTGAAGTATTACTACTAACATTACTTCTCGATTCGTCGATTAATGTCGGTATCGAGAAGGATAAATCACAGACAATCCTCCACACCCCTCGAATCGAGAGATGATGTATAAGCTACTGATAAACAAGTCGAAGAGTGATAAGTGCTACTGAAAGTATGAACGATGCCGTAGCGTGCGATTCATCCAACAAAAAACTAAAATGGAAGCTTACAGAGAGAGCTCGAGCCCTGATTCTAGCAGCAGCTTTAAGAGCGGCAAGCAGATGCTCCTCCTCCTCCATCCTCTTCACCCTCCAATACCTCTCAATCTCCTCCCTCGTCACGCTCCTAACGGCCTTCCTCCGCCTGACGGCCAGTTTCGGTGCTTCGACGATGCTTCCTTCTTTCTTCTGACCCGAGAACATCTCGCCCTTGTTCATACTCCCCCTGATCTTCTCTCCTCCCTTCTTTACCTTCATCCACTGATGATCACCCGGTGGAGAAATTACATGAGCTAGCACCTACGCAAAATTAAGCAGAAGTCGCTCTTCCGACCTAACTTTCTAAAGTGCAAATTACTGGCTGGTTTGGTCCTTCAAAGTTTGCTTCGTCTTTGGCTGCATATTTATATAGAGAAAATACCACCAGCTGATGTTTCTATTGCGATCGTGATCCTATGCTTATGTCCGTTCCCGTGTCATTTTCAGCACGGCCCGCTGCTGGGCCCTACCATCAATCGAAAGTGTTTAGATGGTCGTAAGAAGAGTTTAAAAAAAATAATACTAGTATTTTTAAATGGAATCATAAGAGTAAACTGAAAACAGGCGATAATAACTTAATTTGTAAAAAAAAAAAAAAAAAAAAATTTCTTTGCTTCAAAAAAAAGAAAGAGGATCCACTTTACCATTAATGATTGTTACAAACAGATTACATCGAATTAATAACAGTAACTTAGGATGGTGGAACAAGGGCACTTCTTTTCCCCTTTTTTTTAAAAAAAAATAATTAGTAACTAATTAATTAGCACTATTCCAATGAATAGACAAGTCTCCTTAGCTAATTAATTGGCAGGAACAGTAATTAATCCATCGTAGGTCGAGTCACCATGGATGAGATGTATCCAATCCAAATGAAAGCCGTAGGACTTGACTATTTTAAAGGAAAGAGAGAGATACCTCGGGCGCCGGCAAAATAAGCAAGGCAGCGGAGGAAAAAAAAAAAAAATCTCAACTGGGAATTGTAAAAAGAGATCCTGTGTGCTGAATCTGAGCGGATTTGTAAAGAACATAGAAGTGGGTTACGGTAAAGTTGTAGGACTAATAAAATGTAGTGGAGCCTAGCTTTCAGCTCAAAATTGTATTCACATGAGAGTTGTAGGACTAATAAAATGTCAACCAAAATTTTGGATGACATCGAATCGATCATATAATACTGTGAAAATGTTTACTGCTGCTGTCTCTGGGTCTGATTTTCGAAATAAGCTTCATTGCGGATTGACTTGAGGAAGGAAATTTTTTTTTGAAGGTAATACTCTTTGACTGAAAAAGAAGGCAAAAGCAAACAGCTGAAGGGACCTAGCCTTTGAGACTTTGAAAATAGAAGATAACTAAAGATATCGACTTACTTCATATCTAGTCAAGGGAAAAAGAAGAGGAATTTTGAAGATAAAGCTTTCGAGAGGAGGAAAAAAAGGCAACGGAAGGAACCTAACCTTGGAGATTAGTAAAAATGAAATGAAGATGAAAGTGTGAACTTTCGTCATTTCTACTTAAGATATACGAAGGGGGAAACGCTAAAGATGTGTAATTCTCAAAAGTAACAAAAAAAAAAAAAAAACGAAAGATGTTCTTGCTTTTATTTATCATTATTTCTGATCCGATGTCTTTTATGTATAATAATAACTTTCATGGATTCATCAGTTAGAAATTTCTCAATTTTCCACTTCTCAGTTCTCACCGAATTATGATATGAAATGCATATCAACCACGCACGGTTACACTGCCAAACATACTCCATTAATAAAAGACGCAACCACAACTTCATTATATACTAGAATCATTCTTCGCACTACTAAGAACCAATTTTTTATTTTTATTTTTTATTTTTTGATCATCCACTACTAAGAACTATGAACACCTATTTGCATTTCCCCTAACGAATTCTTGACTTCAATGATTATAAGCATGTTGGTTTCCCACCACTGCTTGTTGGCTTTTGAATGATAACGCCATTTTTTTTTAATGCGTTAGGGAATGTGTCTTTTTGAACATTAGTCTGATCGAATGAAATCTTATTTGAAAATGTCCTCATTGCGGAATGTGAAAGCTGTATCCAACCATTCTTCAAGGAGTAACATGTTACCTACAGTGTAATTTTAACACCACAATCAAAACGATAAAATATTTTTCATACATTTCAAGTTAATGAATTAGTTTGGTATTGATTTGGTAGGAAGGGAGGTAGGATAATGTGAGGGGAAAAAAACTAAAAATCCTCTTTGACGAAGGATTTTTAGAGGGTGAGGTGCGGTGAGGAGAGGGAAGATATAAAATGAATTAAAATTTTAGAGAGATGTCCCTTCAATTTCGAGACGAAGGTGTACAGATAGAATATTCATCTTGTAAAGACTATTAATATCCCCACCTGTTTTGCATAATTAACCACTTACCTTTCCTTATCCAAACTCTATCACATATTTCCACAAAAAAATATTATTGTACTTAAACAGTCCTCACTTAAACTAACTTCCCCTTCCCATCTCCTCAACCAAACAAGAAAAAGCCATGTACCCCACCTTCTAACTTAACAAATCATATCATGGGAGTTCAGGAAGAACTTTTCATGGTCTATTATTACCCTTCACTATTTTGAATATTTCATTTAAATCTTAATCTATTCTAATTTTAATCATATCTTATCTAATTCCACGTAAACTATCTATAGCTCAACAATTTTAAAAAAAAAATATTTTAAATATTTAATTTAATTTTAAAATCTATCTAAATACTAATTATATGCTATATTAACTCCATATAAACTACCTATAACTCAACAATTAAAAAAAAAGATTAAGAAATTATACGTAGATAACATATTATAATACAGGAAGTATTACAAAAAACCCTAAAGTTTTAAAAATTGCATACAATAGCCTTAAAAGTTTACAATTACACAAAACACCTTCACTTTTTAAAACTTAAAAACAAACATGAAATCTAAAAATTTAAAATTTGTAATTAACATCCTCAATATTTCAAAAATTATAGAAATAACCTTAAAAGTTTAAATTACAAAAAAACACCCTAAAATTTAAAGATTTTAAAACTTAGAAACAACATAGATGAATTTCAGGGATTACCATTAGACACTTAAAAATTAAAATTTCTAAAAAATAACCTCAAAGTTATAAATATTATAAAAACTCCCTCAAAAATAAAAAAAATATGAAATTTCAAAACTTATAACCGGTACACATCAAATTTAGAAATTATCAACAAATCATTGAGAATTTAATTTTTTAAAAATAACCAAAAAAAATTAGTAATTGTAAAAATACCTTCAAATTTTCACAGTTACACGAAACATTCTAACATTTAAAATCTTACCACCAACAAATGAAATATGAAAATTATAAGCACCCAACTTATAATTAAAATTTTTCATAAAAAACTAACAAAGTTTAGAAATTGTAAAACACACCCTCAAAAATTCAAAATCACAAAAAGATGAAATTTGGCAAAAAAGAGGAAATGTTTGATATTATTAAGATATATAAATTTAACTTTTAATTTAAAATTTATCATCCCTTTCTAGCATCTAAAAGTAGTTTAAGTTGATGCCGGAAATAACAATTATTGTAGATTAAAACTATCCAGTTAAGGAATAAGAATTTAAAAACATATGATAGATTAAAAATTAACATTACTGTATAAATTCAAGGAACTGCATATAATTTTACTAATAACATTCACTGATAGAAGACAAATTAATAAAAGACTATAATATAATATGTTAGCATTAATTGATTATAATGTATAAACATTTATCTCTAATATTGATAATATTCATAGGATAAAATAATACAATGGGTTATGTATAGAGAAACTATCAGAAAGTTCAGAAATATAATTTAAAAGAACTAAGTTATTTTCATTTCATATAGAGAAGTGAAGAAAATAAACTCAAAATTAGAAAACATTCATAAATCACCTGAATTGACATTGATAAAAGACATATCTGGCAAAGAAGCATTGACCGAGTTCCCCTTGAAGAACATCTGAATAATTTATCTTAATTAAAAAAATATTCTTCATGAAAGATACAAGAAAAATTAGTAAGTACTTATAAATTTTTATACTTTATTCTTAAAATACTAGGGGATCATAAACTTAACATAAAATTACGTATAAATTATCTTGCAATAGAAACTAAAGTGAAGCCGTTGATCAACTATATTGCGAGATATAATAAGCTAGATAAGATGAGGAAAATCACTATAATGGACAAAAAGTATGCACATGATACTTAGTTACCATGGTGTAAGTAAAAAAAATTAAAATTGATATTTTTTTTCTATATAGTGGCATGACTCTGCAAGTAACCTTATTTAGGAATATGACTACCATCGAAGGATAAATTTTTAAGGACACGATAAAAGATAAACAGTTAATAGTACTGTCAGATTTCAAGATCTTTAAATATGAAGGTAACATATATTACAACTAAAATTCTTATTAAAGATCACTAAACATAAAATTCACATTTTATCAATCTCAAGTTCGTAGGAAATATATATATGTCATCGTAAATTTTGTTAATAATATATCAATTCAAAGATATAACTTATTGAAGAAATAAAAGAAAGATAAGTAAGCCAAGCAAACATTCATATAACACGGTAAAAAATATTACACTTTAAAGCTAATATGCAGAGCTCATTCAGAACAAGCTGCTAAAACAAAAGAATCTTCATCAATGCTTTTTATAAATACAACACAAATTTAAATTATTGAATATTTATAGAATAACTTAATTTTTTGCGTAAAATCAAGAATCTTTAGAAGGAATTTTCATGAACTCTTTTAATAATTTTATATGGATATGTGGATGCTTTTATCATGTAAAAGTGCAGTAGAGTTAGCATTAATATTTATTTTATGATTTTTTAAGTCTGTCAATGATTAGCAACAAAATTTATATTCTCTTTAGTTTCATTCTAGCCCACTTTTAATTAACCATCTTGACTTATTGATTTCAATTATTCATCTTTTTTTTACAACTCTATTTTTTCAAGTGTTTTTCACTTTTACAACATTATACCTTCTCAAATCAAGCTTGGCTTCATGTCGATCCAAATAATGTCCAAATTCAAATTAGTTTTAGATTATATTTATTTCTTGTCAATTCAATTATTAACGTAAAAAATTTAAATTTGGTGTAGCCCATTAAAACAAACATTAAAGAAAATAAATAATCATAATACTAAAGTTTAAAGTCATAAGTGAGCAAAAACAATCAAAGTAGAATGATAAACAAATTTTAGTAAAGAAATAAATAAAAAATACTTAATCATAATATATAACCATGTGCATTACACGTGCATAAAACCTAGTAAAATAAAATGTACATCCTTCCTTGAACCTTATTGCACCCCACCTCTCCTATTCATACTCCCTACTACACCAAGCCACTAGTCGTCTATTTGTCATTTTTTGGCAAAGGGAAATGGTACCAAGAAAAGTCCCATCAAAAGAATTTAGGTCTTCCAAATCTTAAAACTGTAGATTTAAAAACCTTTTTTTTTAAGAATAACTTAAAAACCTTAATTTGATCACAGTAAATCTGGTCCAGCCTCCACAATTTGCAAATTGAACTTTCCTGCTTCCTTTTCTTTGTGACGAACCTTGCAACATTTGAACTGATACACAGATCCAAGCCTGTGTCACATGCAATATAGTGTTCCGGCATTCTATCTATTAGATTGTTGCGCTAAAACACATTAAATTGACATTTTATGCCAACATTTAAGAACCAATTTTCGAAAAACCTAGCATGGATTAACCTTTCACCTAAAGAAGGCAGGAATTAGCATCAAACTCTAAAGCTTTATTCCGAGCAAGGATGCAAGCACATACCTCAGCATATTCAAGTCTTTATATCACAATCAATAGGTGAAATGTCCAGATGCCTGAACTCAGCGTGCCAAATGGATGTAGCATTACCACATCCTTGTTCTTTCTCAACTCATTTCATCACCGTCAACAAGTACTAACATAGAGCAACTAGAATGTATTATTTGCATGTCGCATTTTCAAATGCATGAATCTGCTTGGTAATAAAGAATGGAAGTTCCCTACGGAAGCATTACAAATCTGTAATTTTACTTTCTTTTGTTTCCTCTTTCCATATAGCTTGCAAATATGGCTTCTATGGGCAAAGAAAGAGCAATATTCCAAAAGGCATTGCACAGATTATCCAGATAGTACTTAAATGTTCTCTCTTGCAGTGATTACCGCAAAATAAATGAGCGCCATGGGATAGGTCAACTTAGAACTTGGCTCATCCATGGGAATGTTAAATGAATGGCAACAGATCTTATTGGATGTATCACTATTTTGGAAAAGATTCATGCCTTCGTGTGCATAACACTGAACTCATCAATCTATACACAAGCCCTGGAGCTTACTGAGATCAATAGTTCAGATCTGTCACTATTAAAAGCTTGATGCTGCAAGAATATAAGAACAAGCCAATTATAGAGAGCAGGGAGAAAGTGAGAAAATTTCAGTAGAAATGAGTAAAAATGTACTAAATAAAACTAAAAGCATTGCGACTGAATCATGTTCTAGATGATGACAGAACCCATATAATGGTTCACAGGTTTCAACCATTATGACTAACAAAAATATCCAAAATCATGTAAATTGCTTTATAGTTATATAGTCCATGAGAATTTCTAGGAAGAAAGCAAAAGCAAAGTGTTTCTCTAATGGTGCATTAAATTTTTTTATTCCGGTACCAACGGAGATAGAGCATGTTTGACAACGGCCAAACTGGCTTATAAGCCACAAAAAAGTGGCTTATAAGCCCAAGCAACATGTTTGACAACCGCCTTATTTGGGGCTTATAAGCCCCCCGCCAAAAAAGCTTCCCTAACCCAGCTTATTTTTTGGTGGCTTATAAGATATACAGTTTGACCAAGTAAATGTCAAATTTACCCCTTAACATTTAAGATAATTCCAAAGTCTATTCAATGTTTAAATTTACAGCCATATCCTTTTCGGCCATTTTAACCGCAATGATGGATTATAATCCACCCATTTACCAACACTCTCTTGTTGAAAGCGGCTTATAATTCAATTTTTTACCAAACACTTTGGTTTATAATCCGCTTGGCTTATAATTCACAAAATAATCCACTTGGCTTATAATTCATTTGTGAATTATAAACCAAGTTACCAAACGTGCCCATAATTCCCCAGAACAGCATTTGGTTATGGTCACATGTATATGATTTCAGATTTCCTGCAGACAATGTTCAGAGGCACACCTGTCCCAAGCAAAGTGTTGACTTTATATGTGGATGTTTTGCATATTAATCAGCTATAGGGATAATTAGCTGCCAGATGGTCATATTCCTACAGGTTTTTCCCAATCCCTTATAAATGTCAGACTAAACAAGTTGAAAGTTCTCATTAAATAGTTTTTTTTTTCCCTTTTAGCCTTGACACTTCCCTAGTACCTTAACTAAAATTCCACAGGCAGGCAATGACCCAACAATTCTCTCAGCTATATTAAGTTCATTGCATCACATTATAGCTGACTAACCTAGTTTTTTGCAATAAAAGCATGATGTGCTCGTTTTCTCACATTTTCCTATAACCACTGTCATTATCATTCTTTCATCTGTAAGTCTCTAGTTTAGAGTTAGATTGTCAATTTCTTTCTGCTGCCTAAGACTGACATGCCTCCTCATTTTTCACTCCACAAAGCCCCACATTCAACAAGTACCAACTTGCTCTGTAGCAAACTCTATTAGCTCAGCCATAAATGGTTACATCATGCTACTAGATGGCTTATCGTAACTTAAACACTTCAAACAAATGCGGTTGATAGACAACCTTCAGATCTTCCCTTCCAGAACATCTCATTTCCACGCTAAATGGACCAATGCTGTGCATGAGAATTTCTTCTCAGGCTAATGCAAAACAGAACACTTTGCTTTTTTATCTCCATTCCAAGAGGAAACAAACAATTGCTCTTTCAAATCCATTGAAATAAAACAGGCACCTCTTTGCATCTGACAAGTGAAGTTATCCCAATCAAATTGATTGCTCCATGCTCATATTTTGTGTCTACCTACATGTTCTACTGCAACTTAAATGGTTTTGTGTGAAAAATATTACGCGTCATGTTACAACTTTTGGCCGAGGTGAAGATGTCCTTGAAGAGGTCTTACACCTTCACGAAAGCACAATACCCTGTACAGGTTCAAATGCATCGACAACCAAGCTGCTCCTTCAGCACAAGAAGCAGGAAAGCTTTTGTTGGAGGAGAAGATCTGACATAGGAGTCATACCAGCAAGAAAGGACAGCTCTCAATATGTTTAAGAAAATCAAGGTGTTTACTTTAACATGAGTCTCTTGGAATTTGACTTATGCCCACATAGTAACAGTTCCGGCAAAGGATCCCACAAAAGCCAATAAGTACCAAGCTGGATAAAAAATTTAGGCTCTGCTGAAAGCATGCTCATTTTCATCTGATGTACAAATATTGCCAGTAGAAAATCCTTTTGCAACTTTGATCTAAAGAATTAGATGAATGAGTTCGGAGTACACTCAGAAGCACACCAAAAGAAAAAGGAAAAAGAAAATCTCATAGAGAGGTGTCCCTACCATCCTCGGAATGATTTCACAAGCTAAATGAAGGTATTTGATCAACAACTTCTGGGGTACTCACCACACATATCGTCACCTATCTGGCAAATCAATTTTCTAGATAGCTTCAAGAGTTCTATTCATCTAGTGCAGAAGAATGAAGACAGAAAACAACACGAAAGACATGCCACTCAAGGAAGCCAAAGGAAACAACAGTAGGCCCTAAATAAATAAAACATGAGAAAGATTGGTAAGCAACAAAGATGCTACAAGGGACAAGGACGACATGCAGACAAAAGATAAAGAAATTGGAATCCTCTGCAGAAACAAAACCATCTCATTCTTGACTGAAAGGTGGAATTTAGCTTTGTTTATGGTAAGTATACTACAGAAAACATCAAACGAGAAGGTTCTGAGAGAAGACCGGGAGGCATTCATGGGATCCCACAAGCATATTACGTTTTATTACTGATTATATAAAGATATTAAGATATAATAAAGGTCATCAATCAATAAGTTGGCATTCATACAAGTAATTACTAGGGATCAGATGATAATGATGAAACATTCACAAGTAGGAAGATAAATACAATAAAAGGGATTATATTTACATATTTACTTGTACATGCACCACTGGATGAGAAACAAATCCACATCAACCTTAGATCACCGAAACTATGTTGAATGTATAGACACAATGTGGTACCTTGCCTCAAAGAAAAGAAGTACTATATATATATCAGATGGAATATCTTTAAAATTAGAGACAATCTTAACTAAGAATTATGTATAAAAAAGTTTGATCAGCTCCAACAGCATGAGCATTTCAAAGATTATCACCATTTACCTCATTGTTCATTCATTCAGTGAACCAATGTGTATTTATAGGGTAAATTACATTGTGACGTCATCTAAATGTGGAAAACAAGAAATATGATGACCAGTGAGAAGAAACAATAGGGGCATATAAATTGTTTTACCTCTATTACTTGAAATCCAATGTAAGGGAACCAAGTTATCAAGTTCACTGCCATCTTCCTTTACTGCTGCGTCCTTTTTCTCATTTCATTAGCCTGCAAAACAACATCATATTGATGATTAACTCAAAGGCCATGAATGTAGTATGTATAACCAAGTTAAAAGAAAAGAACTGCATAAATCGTACATAGATAACCGAAGATTTTATGAAAAATAGAAATCTTAAATATCGAGTAGATTTTGCCAGTACTTGATGTTTATTGAAATGCAGGATATATAACTTATTGATTTGTCAGTATTTCATGATCTAATTTTTAGGATGCATGCAGCACACATGGATATAAAGTTATCTGCTTCATTGCATCTGTATTATAGATCTTTTAGGAGTGTGTTCATATGATTGTATTGTATCGGATTTATGTCATCCAAGTACATGTTATTACTGTAGATTTATCATATAATCGAAGCCCTTTCCAATAGATTCTCTTTAAAAAGAAAAAGAAAAAGAAAGTAGAGAGCTTTCTGCATAAAAAATGGAGACACAAATTTGACTGTAATAAAAGCATAACGGAGGCACAGAATTTGATGTAATAAAAGCATTCAGAAATTACCACAATAAACTAGACATGGCCAAAACAAGCACTAAACTAAATTTTGGACTTGACATATGTTATTTTTTTCTGTGCTAAGGTTCCTTGGTCTGCGTAGCCGCTCATTCCCCTAGGCCTCTATTCTTCAGTGTTCACATGATATATAGTTTTTTTGTTTTTTCCCACATTCTTTCAGTGCCTTTAAGTTACAATATTTAACCCTAACCAATGTATTTTTTAAAGGAAACATACAATCATTTACAAATTCAGGATTGCAGACCGTTCACCTAAGGGACTTGTCCAGCAATGATATACTTGCTTTTATGGATTGCAAAGAAACATATATGAACTGATAAATGAAAGTCTAAACTACTGCGTTTACATAATAACAGCAAGAGTTATTATGCATATTTTCCAAAAAAAAAAACAAAGCAATTTATATTCTTGGGACCAAGAATAAAACCTCAGTGTGGATTTCATGTCAGCTAGAGATACCCTTTTAACATATCAAACTTGACAGTCTTAGCAGTTTTGATCATGACTATGTGGATCCCGATATGCCTGATCCATCCTGGAATCAGCCAAGATTTAAATCTTATTTTCGACCCAATGTTATGCCATGAACATCATTGTTTGATATTTAAAAGGTAGAAAGATCAGCCTGAATTAATCAGTATCACCAACATTGACCAGGTCAGTATGACATGATTAAAGCCCAACACAATATATATTAGTATTGGTCAGTCTTCAAACATTGTTTCACATACTCAGTTTTAGATGAAATGAAGGAGATACTACATTGTCAAAGTAACATATGTTCACTCCCTAGAAAATTGCAAGAAAAAAAATTCTGCCATATGATGAAAAATCCGGCTCAGGATATCACTTATTCAATTTGTTGCCGCTTATTATGTACCTTAAAGTACTATATCACCTTCCTATCTGTAATACCCATCCTACTGAACAGACAGCAATCAAGTCCATGCATTACCGCATATCCAACAATACAGTATAACATGAAAACTAGGAAAATCATTTGCCCAAGTCAAACCATACCTTCTCAAGCTTTTTCAGGATGGAAGCCTCATAATCTTGAAATCCCGCACCAATAATATTGCTAAGTTTGGGATCAATAGCTTCAGAAGAACTCATAGAAAATGTGCTTGATATATTGGAATTAGCAGGTTGAAGAGGGAGAACGAGTAAAGGATTCGAAATACTTCCACTCATTGCATGGGTAGCTGCAACCTGATAAAGAACAGGAATGAGTGCATAACCAGTATTTAAACAAATGAATATTGAGCACATGTAGAGTAAAAAAAATGCAGTAAAGAAGTTCACGCAAGATAAATTTTGCTATTTATAAGCAATAAACTGTTACTCACAAAGCAAGAAACAAGGAATATTCAGAGGTCATGGTTCATAAACTATGCCAGGGATGCTCAATTGGAAACTAATTCAGCCTTATAACTTATAAGTTGTGTAAATCCTGCAGTAGGGCATAAAAAAGGCTCAGGCCAGGAGCTCTATTTCTCATTCTAGCTCCTGGAATGATAGAGGGTTGAGAATGATAAATGATGGTTTTTTACTAAAAAAACATAACATTATAAACAAACTTCGATTTAGTAATATCGGAGCACTTTCATACCCGATGACTTAGTGGGACAGAAGAGGAAGAATCACATAACATTGATAAATGTGAAATTTCAACTTACCTACAGGATGCTCTCTTCCTCCCAATTGCTCACCCATCAACCACACTCCCAGGGAGGGAGGGAGGAGGAAGGGAGAAGAAAACACCACTCCTCCCTCTTTTTTATTTTGTTAATCCATCGAATTTTTATCTAGGTTACAAACCCTTACACGTAATCAGGTGTTCTGCCTTGTAAGTGTTTATCTCCCAAAGGCAACCTATTGCCCACAGAAAAAATGTATATCCTACACAAACCATGAATACAGAAACTAAATGAGGTTTTGAGAACTTAAACTAAGTTTGGGTTTCGACTCCTTTAGAGAGTTCTGCAGTTTGACGAATGTAAATCTGAGGTTGGTTTAAGAAACATGTTCCATTATACTGACTTTTTTTATGGTAAGTTAAATGTTATTAATCTACCATCTTTCCCCTTGTCAACCCTTTCTCTATGGTTCAATCAAATTTGCAGGATGACGATGGTCTTTAGGATTATGTTCAAGCCTCCACTATTGTCAGAGTTTAATTATCCAAGAATTTGGCTAAAAATAGGAGACAATTGACTTAAGGTGGGCATCCCACATCAAAACTTTATCAAATATTTTATGGAGATTTGCTCCATATTCATTCCCATTATTATGGGAAAAGAATTAAAAGATGATTTGACTTAAAACCAGTAAGATGTATAAAAATATTAGAACATCAAACTTTTAAGAGGAAAGTGCAAATCTTTTAGAATACATTACAAAGCTTATAAACTTGCATGACGACATGCTAGAAAATATGCTTAATGAGAGCTCTTTCTTTCACAATGTACTAAGAAGAAATCTAATTTATTGATAGCAAGAATTGTTCAAATTAAGAAGATTTGATGGCAATACATGTAAAAATCCCTCTATCTTTATAGCTCATACATAATTACATAATGTGGTTTTGAAACCAAAAGGTCCTTTCACTTGAAATTTGCAGTAGAACACTAAATTAGAATATATTACATTTGGATTATGAAGTTGAATTCACATAATAATGATAATATATACATAACCCCCTTCAGAATTTAGTGAAGGAAGCAGAAGCCAAAATCCTAACCCCAGACTATTAAGAGAAGTGACCAAACATGTGCAAAGAAAGCTGTAATGCGAGTGATATAGAGATACTGATTGGAAGTGATGAAAAGCATGGTGGCTTCATCATCTTAGAACTTCTCTCATACTTTGCATTTTCTACCTCTCAGATATATTTGCAGAAAATTGAAGAAATTGGGATGCAAAACTGTACTAACTCTATAATTTGAAAGGAATAGAGAAACTCACTGTAGCTTCTTTGGAAGACATCACAACAATAGCGGAACCCTTCTTCTTTGATCCCTTACTTCTGATCACTACATCCTCGACCTTACCGAATGTCTCAAATATTTCCCTCAACTTTACAGCACTGTAATCCCCTACTGTTCTCTCCCAGGAGACCTTCAATACCCTCTCCTTGTCCAAACTCACCGCTCTATCATCCTCTCCTTTCTGCTGACCAGATGCCTGGAAATTAGTGCTTAGATTAAATATTCACTAATATTAGGACTTGACAACTCAACAAAAGTGAACAATCTGTTTACATCTCCTAAGGAAAATACAGCATGTAAAGAAAATTTATGTTAAACAAATTTGCACCTAATAAAGAAAAAAAAGGTGTGCGATTACTTGTACTTCTTTCTGGTAAAAAGCAACTAGTCTATTTCTGAACTTCGAAGTTGTTTATAACAATCAGTAACTTAACAATGTAATCGTACAGGTGAATACGCTGCAATTGAACTTTTCCAAATGGTGTAAATAATCTATAATAAAGTAAGAGATTAAGCTCAGCTACTCCAGGTTCAAATTGTCTGTTGCATAATCACAACAATAGTCACGAACAATTCTATAGTCCTCTAACATCAGCAGTCAGTAAATTTATTTCAACAATCTTACACGCTTAGTGTGGTTCTGCATTATATATGCAAGCTGTCAGTGTTATATTCATTCCGTTAATACTGATTTGTGTTATACTCATTGAGCATATTATTATAAGTGAGATGTACAGATAAATTTCATCCTCCTAGCAAAGAATAGCTGGTCCTTCATCAAACAAAATAGGTAACAGTACTAGGTAAATCATACCTCATCAATACTTATTTCTAATTCCTACAATTACACGACATACACCTTACAAATAATGTTAAAACTAAGAGAATACTATAAATTTCATATAATCTTTTTCTAAATGATCACTCTCAGATAAAGATAAAACCTAGTCAAGATTTCACAAAAATCTTACCGAAGCGAAAGCATCAGTGGCTTTCTTGACTTTCCTAGCCTGAAACTCCTGCAACTCCCTCTTCAGCTCCGCCGCCATGGTCTTCTCCTTCTTCCTCACCAACTCATCAGGATCCACGCTCTCCGCATCCCTCGCCGCCGCCCGCTCCCTCTCGTCAAGGTCAGAAGCAAGCTTCCTCCTTTTCGCGCCTAGCAGCGAGTCGCGAGCGATCTTCTCGATCCGAGCGCGGATCGTGGCGTCGAAAGCGCTTCTTTTGGCCTCGTCCTTGAGGATTTCGAAGGAGGAGGTGAGGCGCTGGAAGTCGGCGGTGGCGTTGGGGTCGTCGGGGCGCTTGTCTGGGTGGCGGATTCGAGATTGATTGCGGTAAGCTTTCTCGATCTCTTTTAGGGTTAGTTTGAGGGCCTCTTCGCCGGAGGGGAGGCCGAGGACGGCGTAGTGGTCGACATCGTCTTCGATGGAGTCGGCGCCGGATCCCCTTCCGCC